CCAGGACCAGATGGCTTCACTGGTGAATACTACCAAATCTTTAAAGAAAAGTTCATACCAAATTCTTTTCAATCACTTCCTAAAAAATTGAGGATAAAACACTTACAAACTCATTTATTGAGGTCAGCATTACCCTGATACCAAAACTAGACAAAGACACCACCAGAAAACAAAACTACAGGCCAATATTCCTCCTGAATATGGATGCAAAAATCCTCAAGAAAATGCTACCAAACCAAATCTAACAGCATATTAAAATATCATACGCCATGACTAAGTGGGATTTATTCCTCAGATGCAAGGATAGCTCAGCATACTCAAATCAATAAATGTGATAACATTAACAACATGAAGGATAAAAATTAAATGATAATATCAATGTATGAAAAACAAAAAAGTATTTGATAAAATACAATACCTTTTTATAATGAGAAACTCTCAACAAACTAGATATAAATGGAATTTACCTCAAAATAATAAAGGCCATATATACTCAATGGTGAAAAAGCAAAAGCTTTTCCTCTACCATCAGAAACAAGGCAAAGATGTCCACTCTCACCACTTCTATTCAACATACAACTCAAAGTCCTAGCCAGAGCAATAGGCAAGAAAAAGTAATAAAAGCCATCCAAATTAAAAAAGAAGTAAAATTGTCCCTGTTTGCAGATGACATATGTTCTTATGTAGAAAACCCTAAACACCCCACAGAAAAACTGTCAGAACTAATAAAGAAATCAGTAAAGTTACAGGATACAAAATTAACATGACAAAATCATTTGTATTTCTATATACTAAAAATGAACAATCTAAGAAGAAAATTAAGAAACAAATACTATTTACAATAACATTAAAAAATAAAATACTTCACAATAACATAGAATAAAAAAATAAGAAAATACTTGGTTAAGTTTAAAGAACTTAACCAATGAGGTAAAAGATTTGTACTCCAGAAACTATAAACATTAATGAAAGAAATTAAACAAACACAAATAAATGGAAAGATGTTCCATGTTTATGAATTAGAAGATTTAATACTGTTGAATTGTCCATACTTCCTAAAGCAATTTACAAATTCAATGCAATCTCTATTAAAAATGCCATAACTTTTTCTACATAAATATGAAAAATACTAGAATACATATGGAACTTCAAAAAACCCTGAGTAGCCAAAGCATTCTTGAGAAACAAAAACTAATCTGTAGGCATCACACTTTCTGATTTCAAATATATACTACAAAGCTACAGTAATCAAAACAGTATGGTACTAGCATAAAAACAGACATAACCCAATGGACAGAATAGATCTGCAAATATATACGGTCAACTTATCTTTGAAGACGGTGCCAAGAATATACAATGGGAAAAGAATAGTATCTTCAATAAATGGTGTTGGGAAAGCTAGATATCAACATACAAAAGAATAAAATTGGACCCTTATCAACAGCATACTCAAAAATCAGTGCCAAGTGGGTTAAACACTTAAACATAAGATTTCAAACTATAAAACTGCCAGAATAAAACATAGGGGGGAAAGCTTCATGACATTGGTATTGGCAATGATTTACTGGATACACCAAAAGCACCACCAACAAAAACAGAAATAGACAAGTAGGACTACATCAAATTAAAAGGCTTCTGCACAGCAAAGGAAACAATCGACAGAGTAAAATGTCATCCTACAAAATGGTAGAAAATATTTGCAAACCTTATGTCTGAGAAGGGGTTTATATGGAATAAATATAAAGAACTCAAACAAATTAATAACAAGAAAACAAATAACTTGATTTAAAAAAAATGTGTCAAGAACCTCAATTTGCCCAATGAAGACATTTCTCCAATGAAGACATATAAATGGCCAACAGATATATGAAAAGATGATCAACATCACTAACTATCAGGGTAATGTGACTCAAAACCATGAGATTGGTGGGATGTGGAGAAACTAGAATCTCTGTACCCTGCTGGTGGGAATCTAAAAAGGTACAGCCACTATGGAAAACACCATGGAGATTCTTCTGAACTTAAAAATAGATCTACCATGTGATCCAGCAATCACCCTTCTGAGTATATATTCAAAAGAATTGAAATCAGGATTTCAAAGAGATATCGGCACTCCCATATTTGCTGCATGCTTCTTATGCACAATAGCCAACACATGGAATCAAACTAAATATCCATTGACAGATGAATGTACAAAGAACATGTGGTATATACATACAATGGAATATTTTCCAGCCTTAAAAAAGAAAATCTTGCCATATGTAATAACGTGAATGAACCTGGAAAACTTTATGCAGTAAAATAAAACAGGACAGAGACTGTGTAATTCTAGTGTTTAAAATATTCAAACCCATAGAAACAGAGTAGAACGGTGGTTGCTAGGGGCATGTGAGGAGATGTATAAGGAATTGATGCTCAGTGGGTATAAAGTTTCAGTTATGCAAGATTTATAGAGATCTGTTGTAAAACAATATCAATACTGTATTGCACACTTAAACATTTGTTAAGAGGATAGATCTCATATTAATTTTTCTTACCAGAATAAAAAGAGAAATACTTGTAAATTCTGATGAAATCATTAGAACTTTGTCCATATGATTATGTAATTGAATTAAAAGAACACTTCAAAATCTTTAAAAAAAATACAATGTTTCCTTTGACAAAGTTGTTATAAGTTCTATATTTGCAAAATTAACTTTTAAATATTTATATAAACTTGTTCTTAGCTTTCCTGAANCAGTATGGTACTAGCATAAAAACAGACATAACCCAATGGACAGAATAGATCTGCAAATATACATGGTCAACTTATCTTTGAAGACGGTGCCAAGAATATACAATGGGGAAAGAATAGTGTCTTCAATAAATGGTGTTGGGAATGCTAGATATCAACATACAAAAGAATAAAATTGGACCCTTATCAACAGCATACTCAAAAATCAGTGCCAAGTGGGTTAAACACTTAAACATAAGATTTCAAACTATAAAACTGCCAGAAGAAAACATAGGGGGGAAAGCTTCATGACATTGGTATTGGCAATGATTTACTGGATACATCAAAAGCACCATCAACAAAAACAGAAATAGACAAGTAGGACTACATCAAATTAAAAGGCTTCTGCACAGCAAAGAAAACAATCGACAGAGTAAAATGTCATCCTACAAAATGGCAGAAAATATTTGCAAACCTTATGTCTGAGGAGGGGTTTATATGGAATAAATATAAGGAACTCAAACAAATTAATAACAAGAAAACAAATAACTTGATTAAAAAAAATGTGTGAAGAACCTCAATTTGCCCAATGAAGACATTTCTCCAATGAAGACATATAAATGGCCAACAGATATATGAAAAGGTGATCAACATCACTAACTATCAGGGTAATGTGACTCAAAACCATGAGATTGGTGGGATGTGGAGAAACTAGAACCTCTGTACTCTGCTGGTGGGAATCTAAAAAGGTGCAGCCACTATGGAAAACACCATGGAGATTCTTCTGAACTTAAAAATAGATCTACCAGGTGATCCAGCAATCACCCTTCTGAGTATATATCCAAAAGAATTGAAATCAGGATTTCAAAGAGATATCGGCACTCCCATATTTGCTGCATGCTTCTTATGCATAATAGCCAACACATGGAATCAACCTAAATATCCATTGACAGATGAATGTATAAAGAACATGTGGTATATACATACAATGGAATATTTTCCAGCCTTAAAAAAGAAAATCTTGCCATATGTAATAACATGAATGAACCTGGAAAACTTTATGCAGTAAAATAAAACAGGACAGAGACTGTGTAATTCTAGTGTCTAAAATATTCAAACCCATAGAAACAGAGTAGAATGGTGGTTGCTAGGGGCATGTGAGGAGATGTATAAGGAATTGATGCTCAGTGGATATAAAGTTTCAGTTATGCAAGATTTATAGAGATCTGTTGTAAAACAATATTAATACTGTATTGCACACTTAAACATTTGTTAAAAGGATAGATCTCATATTAATTTTTCTTACCAAAATAAAAAGAGAAATACTTGTAAATTCTGATGAAATCATTAGAACTTTGTCCATATGATTATGTAATTGAATTAAAGGAACACTTCAAAATCTTAAAAAAAAAATACAATGTTTCCTTTGACAAAGTTGTTATAATTTCTATATTTGCAAAATTAACTTTTAAATATTTATATAAACTTGTTCTTAGCTTTCCTGAAAGAAATTATTTATACCTGTGTATTCAAGATGAAATCCTGCAGCCGAAACACTGATGTCTGATTGAAAATTTAGATATAGATTATTAGAGGTACTATTCAAAAGATGGGGTATTGTAGTTCCTGAAATGACAATTAAGAAGTCAGGTCAATGATCACATAATAAATACTATATAGTAAAACTAAATAAATTAACTCATCCAGTAGATTACCACTAAAATTTTGTATTAGTCTCTCTCTCTATAATACACTGTATTATAGAGATGTTAATAAGTCTCTCTCTCTCTGTAATACACTGTATTATAGAGAGAGAGACTATTTTTTTTCTATACTAGGTCAAGTACCTTAATGTTTCTTTTACACTGAGAGAAAAACTTGTAGTTTGCTTTCAAAAAATCCCAGTTTTGAACTAGTGTTAGTCTCATCTCTCAGCAAATGCATCATAATGATGTTTTCCTGAACTTCGGAAGGAAATCAACTTTACTTTATCCAATTATTGAGTATGAAAATATAAAATGTCTGCTTGAACCAATCACTTCTGAACCATTTGATATTGAGCAAATTGCTCAAGATCCTTAAGACTCCAACTCAGTTTCAAATGGCAAGCATGAAATTAACTAAGTGTCAATTCTATGTTTTATGATACATTTCAACAAGCATATGAGTTGATTGTGTTGCATGCATTTCTTTATAAGTAACTAGCTACTTTCACGTGCTTTGGACAACTTTGTGGAACCCTGATGACTTCCATGAAAGAACGGAAATAATTCATTCCAAAACACACAATTGTTTTCTGTTTTTGCTTTTGTTTTGTTCTGACCTTGCTCTCTGTCCACAGTGTCCTAAACTGCAATCAATGAAGACAGGGGAAAACAGTAACTCAAAACGTCACTCAACCTGCTGTCAGTCTCTTAGAGGATCTTACTGATTCAGAGCTTTGGCTCTGGAGTCACACCAGCTGAGTCCCAATCGCATTCTAATATTAGATGTACAACCTCAAGCAACTTAATTCCTGTGTACTTCTATTACCTACCAGGACTTTCAGAAAGATCAAATGAGAAAATGCACAGCAAACCTCACACAGAGCTATCACTTGGTAACCAAAAGCTGTTATTTATCATTTTTATCATTCTTATACTTATTGTTAAGAAAGTACTACACCTAACCTATTATAAATAAAAGTATACCCAAAACCTTATGAGATTTTTCTAAGAAAGATTTCTATATAAATTATATCTAAATATTGTTTATGCTTTAAACCAAATCATTCCTTCTCTAGATATTTCTTTCCTCTCCTCATTGGCGATGCTGANAAACTGCAATCAATGAAGACAGGGGAAAACAGTAACTCAAAACGTCACTCAACCTGCTGTCAGTCTCTTAGAGGATCTTACTGATTCAGAGCTTTGGCTCTGGAGTCACACCAGCTGAGTCCCAATCGCATTCTAACATTAGATGTACAACCTCAAGCAACTTAATTCCTGTGTACTTCTATTACCTACCAGGACTTTGAGAAAGATCAAATGAGAAAATGCACAGCAAACCTCACACAGAGCTATCACTTGGTAACCAAAAGCTGTTATTTATCATTTTTATCATTCTTAAACTTATTGTTAAGAAAGTAGTACACCTAACCTATTATAAATAAAAGTATACCCAAAACCTTATGAGATTTTTCTAAGAAAGATTTCTATCTAAATTATATCTAAATATTGTTTACGCTTTAAACCAAATCATTCCTTCTCTAGATATTTCTTTCCTCTCCTCATTGGCGATGCTGAATAATTGGTTATCATACTCCATTTAAAAATCTCTTAAAAGCGTAAAGCCATTCAAAATTATTTCAATATACCTGAAATGTATAAGTAAATAGCTATTTAGCTATGTTTGTATTCTAGAATTCAAAAAGCATAATAGCAAAAACTAAAAATTAAAACTCTCGATTTCAACTTCAATACGCTGAAATAAACTTTAAAGCTATTTAGCTATGTTTGTATTCTAGAATTCAAAAAGCATAATAGCAAAAACTAAAAATTAACACTCTCGATTTCAACTTCAATACGCTGAAATAAACTTTAAAATTAGTGCATGAATTACCTTAAAAATCTTTACAAATCAATATAATTTAAAAAATCAGTCAACACTTTTCATAATAAATCAGACTATTTTATTTTGTGTTTACTTCTGTTTTTGTTACATATGTATATATTAATTTTATATAATTTTATTCATTTCATACAAATAATTTTATATTCTCTTTATTCTCACTTAAGGGTACCATGTAGCATTTACTACGTTGTTTACATCATCTCTTTATTGTAATGATTGTACAGCATTCTGTGGAGTGGATATACCATAATTACCAAGCAAAGTCTAATTTATAACTATTATTGCTCATCCTATTTTTTTTATTTTAAGGAAAAGAACACACATATTATTTCTGAACCCAAACTCAGCTGAAAATATTACTATTAACATAAAAGTATCAGTAAATAATCGCACAATATAGTAAGATTTAAACAGCAATTTTGGCATTACCTTTAAAACTTTTCAAATTTCTAACCCTATAATTTAGTTTATTACATGTAGTTTACAAAAAGCAAATTAAAATCACCAAATCAGAGTTTTAGGGAGCTCTTGAAATATTTTTTTTATATTCCTAATAGTATTTATATTTTAATTAGGCTCAGCTCTCTTACTTACCTGAATAACTTCCAAGCCTTGGAGCATTGTTGTCTCCCCCATCATAAAAGTCCAGAGAATCCCAGTTATGTTCTGTAGCAAAGCTAACAACCTGCACCTATGAAATAATAATTACTGGTAAGAATGCACATTTCTAACCAGATATATATGTTACAGTATACCAATTCCTCCTAGAAGAAAGAGCTGAAAGCCTAGACTACATCACTGTGGCCCTTCATAGAAAGATTTTTAAAAAACTGCTCTTTGCCATTATGAAATTGGCTTACATGAGCTGATTTTTGTAAGAAAAGCCTTATGGAGCACCTAGCAGTGTTCATTATGGATATAACATGGAGAATATCTGTCACTATCTCAGAGCATTCTCTTTATTAAAAGTTTTGGGCTAATGTAACAACTGGGTGCAAGGAACCCCAATGCATGTTCCAAAAAATTGTTTAACTTATGTGTATATGTTTTGGAGTGTTAGATTATTGTCACTGACAAGAGTTTTCTTATTTGCTTTACCTGTTATAAATTAACCAGATTTGTGGTCCATAAGTATATAGGACCTTAACATATGCATTTTAAAAGCTAGGTTTATTCCCGGATGCATTGTATTTTTCCTTTCTTTACAAAAACTTTGCTCAATTTCTTCTCTTCCTTTTATTTAAAACTTTCCAATATTGTTATTCCATTTTTAATAGGTCTCAATACGGATGATTAAAAACAATCCTTTGTAACTAATTTGAATGCATCTTTTAAAAACTATTTTTACGAATAGAATTATAACAACTAGATCACTGTGAGGGTCGGTAAAGTTAAGAAGGGAAATTCTGGGGTTTAATTCTCTCATGTCTATTAAGTTTTATTTTAAAAAGAGGCATGTGTTACTTTGTTGCACATCATTTGGCACAGTTTGAGCTCTTGCAAGAACCCAAAGGACTCTCACAACTATGGATATTATCTATTTTGCTGTTTGATTATTAACTATTTTGTATTTTGGGAGGATGAAAAGAAATAACTTTTTAAAATAAATTCATTTTATTTAGTTAAATTTTGTTATAAATCTAGGCACTACACTCACTAAATAATTAAAACAGTTTCATTCATTAAAAATTTCTTATGTGCAGAATGATTCATCATCCTCCTTCCATTCAAATGAATGCTGGTGCCTCTTTTCTGGGGTGAGTGCCACATGGCAATAGATACCCTGCCTGTGTGATTGGCATTATACCCAATGGCAATGTTCCAGGACAGGAAGACAACCAGAATTAAAATTGGATGATTGTAATATAACCACCACCTCCTTAAACAATGATCAATTCCAACTTCATAACTGAATTTTCCTTTCCTTCAATTTAAGGAAAGAAAGGATTATATTCAGCTAAAAAAAATGAAAGAATCATGCAGGAGTTGTCATTTGTGCTAAGCTTAAGGTATTGAGAGGTTTTTCACTTCACTGAAGGAAATTATTGAGTGTGTAACAAAGTAGAGGAGGCAAACTATGAGCTGGATTTACTGAACCATCAGTAATCCAATTTAGTCACAGTGGAGAATGTTTACATAAGAGGAAATCTGCATGCATAGTTAGAAAATGCATAGAAAGAAAGAGTAGAGCTAAGTGGATAAACACAAGAGAGCTTAGTGTCTGAGTGCCTGGGTTTGCAACTTCCTGGCTCCCTCTAGTCACTAGCATGTAAGCCTAGGAAAGGTGTTAATCTCTCTGTGCCTCAGATTACTCACATAAATCATTATAGTAAAGGTATCTAATTCATAAATTTGCTGCAAAGTTAAATTAGTTAATATGTATAAAGGGCTTAGAATAGTGCTCAGCATGTACTAATAGCTAAGAGAGGTTTAGAGAGAAACTCAGTAAAGACTGAACACCAGTATAATAACTAAGCACTTGAAGGTATAATTATACCTTCAGTATTCCACTGGACAATTTAGAAGTAGGAGGAAAAAAATAATCAGGACTGTGCTTTAAGTACAGCACCGCATTAGAAAAAAGAAAATAAAAGTGAAAAGACAATTTCATTATATATTGCAGCAATATTTAAATGACTAATGCAGTGAGAAGCAATGAATGGCTAAACTGTTGGAGGCAGGAATAGTAGAAAGCAAGACTCAAACATTACACTTGTTGTTGTAGGAAAAGTTATGGATTCTGTGTGATGTGAATAGGGGAGGAAAGGAGAGATAAGATTTAAGAATAATTTATCTTCTTTTCTTGAGTTATTGAGAGCAGAGGGGTAGCAAGAATAAAAATGTAGACATCTCCAGGAAAACCTATTACTTGTATGGCAAGGAGAAAATCTATTTAATTCTGGGTATATATGTATAGGCTGGATAATGGCTCCTAAAGATATCATGTCGTAATCCCTACAGCCTGTAAATATTATCCTATATGAGAAAGGGGTCTTTGAGATGTGA